CTTTTTACAGCATTCCCTTTAGCATTTCTTGCATTGCTGGCTTGGTAGTGATAAACTCCCTTAGCCTTTTTTTGTCTGCGAAGCTCCTGATTTCCCCTTCAATTTTGATTGATAGTCTTGCTGGATAGAGTATTCTTGGATTCAGACCTTTGCTTTGCATCACTTTGTATACTTCATTCCATTCCCTTCTAGCTTGATGTGTTTTTGTTGAGATATCATTTGAAAATCTATTGGGGGATCCTTTGTAATTAACTCTATGTCTCTCTTTTGTGGCCTTTAAGATTCTCTCTTTGTCATTCATTGCCATTGTAATTATGATGTGTCTTGGTGTGGGTCTTTTAGAATTCATCTTGCTTGGGACTTTCTGTATTTGTGTAACTTTTTTCTTCCCCATATCAGTGATGTTTTCTGTCATTTTTTTCTTCAAATAGATTCTCTAAACCTTGCTTCTCTTCTTGTCCTTCTGGCAACCCTATTTTATGTATGTTACTTCATTTTGTGTTGTCCCAAAGCTCCCTTAGGCTCTCCTCCTGCTTTTTAATTTTTTTTCCAGTTGCTGTTCAGATTGGGCTTTTTTCTCTACCTTATCTTCTAACTCACTAATTCTATCCTCTGCTTCTTCTAGTCTACTGTTGAAACCTTCCATGGTGTTTTTGATTGTAGCTATATCACTTTTTATTTCTTCCTGATTTTTTCCTAGGTTGTTGATTTTTCTCGTCCATCAGGTTTATGAACTGTAGGACCATTACTCTCAATTCTTTTTCTATCATGTTGCATGCCTCAGTTTCACTTATTTCCTTTCTTTGCGACTCCTCTTTTTCTTTCCTCTGGGGATTGTTTCATTGTCTCCCCATTTTATCACCAGAAGTTCCAATCACCGAGTTGTGGGGGCCTGGGCCATGTGCTGTGGGAGCTTCATGCCACCTAAGTGTCACTGAAGATCTCTGACACCAAGACGCATGGCCTCTGTGGGTCTGTGGGAGCCCTGCTCACCCAGGATCAGAGTCAGTCACTGGCGCTCAGTGCGGCCTTGTACGTACACCTAGAATCAGGGACCCCGCCTGCGCCGTGCTGAAAAAGAGACCCCGCTGTTGTGTGCTGAAAATCAGAGTCCCCTAGCACGCGCCAGGAGTCAGTGTCCCCCTGTTCCTGCACGGAGAATTTAATATTTGAGTCTCTGTCACTTGGTGTGGCCTCGCACTGAGAATCAGGTCCCTGTGTACACATGCGCTGAGTATTGGAGTCACTGGCTCTTAGTGTGTGTGTACTTGGGATCAGGGATCCTGTGCGCGAGCGATGAGAAACAGAGTCAAATCACTGGTGCTCAGTTCTGCCTCTCGTATGGAGAATGAGGGTTCCCAGTCTGCTTGGGGAACCGGGTTGCACAGCCACCCTTTTTCGGTGGGAGGTCTACTCCTGCGCTGTGTGAGACAGACTTCCGTGTGCCCTCATTCAGAATCAAAGTCAGGTGGCACAGCTGCCTTGAGTGGGCCTACCTAGGGTCTGGTTGTGGGAGTGCCTACTGCGGGAAACAAACTCCCTTTCTCTGCATGTTCAGGCTCAAATTCAGCACAGCCTCCCTGTGTGGATGTGGGGTCTGTTTGTGGGAGTGCGGGCCGCGGGAAACAAACTCCCCATGTCTGCGCAGGAGGAGAGTGTCTAGCAGTTCCAATGCAGCTGCAGTGGGCTGGCAGGGAGGGGGATAGGCTCTGTGACTCACAGAAATTCGCCTGGAGTCTTGGTGTCCCTGGGTCTGCAGCTGTGGTCGCAGGTCTTTTACCCGAGTGGCTGTAGGGTCCCGGTTTGCGTCTGAGACAAGATTGGGTGGTGGCGAGGCTAGGATCCTAGTCTCAAGCAGTTCTGTTCTTCAAGATTGCATAGTTTCTGTCAAGCTTCAACCAGGGAGACCTCAGATACCTCCTCGGACCTTACAACCACCGACATATGAAGTTTTGAAGCTTGCTGTCAATACAGCAAAATAGCATACATATCAAATCGCATATATATCAACATATGTGTAACTCCATCTATTGAAAAAATCTGCATTATTAACTGGTACATCTGGTAGGTACTTTGCACATACTCAGATAACTCAAAAGGTGCAAAATTAATTTTCACACCCATTTCTGTCTAACTTCACAACGAGCAAGCACTTGCGTTTACTTTTCTTAAGAAAGAAGAGCAAGTTTTAAGGAAAGCATAAGTTTCTTTTTGGACATATTATATTGAGTTTACTCTGAGGCATTCAGTTAAAGAGTCTAGGGATTAGAGTGTTATCTCAATACACAAAGGTTACAGGTTCGATTCTCCATTAGGGCACATAACAAATCAATGTTTCTCTCTTTCTCTCAAGACAATAAATAAAAAAATTTAAAAATACATACAACTTTACAGAGTATTAACTTTTAATTTTAAGCATCTTGCTTTTGTCAGTTGTTACAGCCCAACTTTTTGGTTTTGTACTTTATTTTCCCTTTTAAAAATATATTTATCGGGGATTTGTTCTTTTACTTGTCTTTTCAAAGAACCAGTTTTTAAACTTTTAAAATGTTCACTTTTAATTTCTAATGATCTCATTTTTATTTTAACTATATATATTTTTTCCTTCTGCTTTTTTCCTTCGATATGTTTTGCTGTCCTTTTTTTTTTTTTTTCCTTTTTCTTTTTTAAAGATCTAAGTTGAATGCTGAATTCTGGTATTTTTGTTTTTGATAGTTGAAAGCATTTAAGGTTAAGAACTTATATTGATACCCTATTTTCATCACATTTTGGGTACTATTTTAATATTTAATGTTTCCTAAATGTTCTGTTGCTGTGTTCATGTTTCAGAGAATGACAATAATCTAAGTTAAACTCACTGGCAGGATGCCTTTGGTAATAAGCTATTTCTCTGGGGCTCTGGAAAGAGGAAACTGCAGAGCCTCACTTCCTCCCTCTAGGTTCTACAGTGCATGTTGCCCGGACAACTCAGAATCCATAAGAATTGTACTATAGATTAAAAGAAGAGAAAAATTATTCTCTTTTTAAAATGTTCCAAAGAAACAAGTCCAATCCTTTGGATATGTTCCAAATAACTAGTAAGCAATGATCAATGTAGTCTGAGTGACCAAAGGAGAATAGGGAGTGTCACCAGAGCTCCCCTTTCCCTTCCCATATCCTGTTACTGGCTTTCTTTCACTCCCCCAAGTGCCTAGGGATGTTTCCTATAACCTCCATTTAATTGGACTGTCCTCAACATATTAACTCCATAGATTATGTATTTCAGTTAGAGTAAATTTTGTATCAAGTTCTATGTCAGTGAACAATATTAGAATTTTTAAATTTCTTTATTTCAACCTGGTGTATTACATTGGAGTTTGTCATACTTAGCCAGCAAACCCAATAAAAGCTAAATATTTTCTGAGAAAAATATAAATGCCATCTTACATCACTCGGATTTTATTTTATACTAGAGGCCTGGTGCACAAAATTCGTGCACTGGGGGGAGGTTGTCTCTCAGCCCAGCCTGCACCCTCTCCAATCTGGGACCCCTTGGGGGATGTCTGACTGCCGGTTTAGGCCAGATACCATCGGGCCTAAACCGGCAGTTGGACATTCCTCTCACAATCTGGGACTGCTGGCTCCCAACCACTTGCCTGCCTGCCTGCCTGATTGCCCCTAACCTCTTCTGCCTGCCAACCTGATCGCCCCCTAACCACTCCCTGCCAGCCTGATCGACGCCTTAACTGCTCCCCTGCTGGCCCGATTGCCCCCAACTGACCTCCCCTGCTGACCCAATCGCCCCCAACTGCCTTCCCCTGCCGGGCCGGTTTCCCCCAAACTGCCCTCCCCTGCTGGCCTGATCGCCCACAACTGCCCTCACCTGCCGGCCATCTTGTGCGAGTGTGTGATGGTCAATTTGCATATTACCTCTTTATTATATAGGACTAGAGTCCTGGTGCACAAAAATTTGTGCACTTGGGGGGGTCCCTCAGCCCGGCCTGTGCACTCTTACAGTCTGGGACCCCTCGGGGGATGTCCACCTGCTGGCTTAGGCTCACTCCACGGGGGATCAGGCCTAAGCTGGCAGTCAGACATCCCTCTGGCAGCCCAGGAGCCCTCGGGGGATGTCCACTTGCCAGCGGGGAGCAGGCCTAAGCTGCAGTTGGACATCCTTAGCGCTGCTGAGGAGGCGGGAGAGGCTCCCGCCACCACCGCTGTACTGGCAGCCATCAGCCTGGCTTGTGGTTGAGCAGAGCTCCCCTTGTGGGAGCGCACTGACCACCAGGAGGCAGCTCCTGCATTGAGTGTCTGCCCCCTGGTGGTCAGTGTGTGTCATAGTGACCAGTCATTCCTAGTCGTTCTACTGTTAGGGTCAATTTGCATA